AAAATACAGGTTATGAAAGCTGCTACTAAGCCATTTTGGGAGCCAGGAATCCTCTCTTTTGTTATACTAATGAAGATGACTACATTGCTTCTAGGGAGACAATTAAAATGAATTCAGTCTGAAGTTTATAGAGGCTATAGTTTTAGTCGTATTTCTTCCTATGTATGTTAACTGTAATGGTTTTTCAATCATGCCTTTTGTTTCCCTGACTTATTCTCTTACTACACAAAAAAATAAATCCGAGGAAATTGACTTAGATTTTGCCCTGAACTTTACCTCACCATGAAGGTTTGTCGCTTTCATTATTTCTTGTGTGCATCTGTAGAGTGCTTGCAAATGTGCCAGGTAACTTAGCAGGAAGAAAAAAGTACTTTATCTCCCACTCATCATAATTTATTGCTACTGGTTTTGAGGGAGGGCGGGCAGATGGGTGTGAGGAGATTTGCTGTGTCAGAAGTAAGTAGGGTTTTCACGGAAGTTGACTCCATCTTGTAAAAACCTGAGAACATAAAACAGTTGTTCTTCAGCTGGATGTATTAAATCTTGTTCAGTCCCTCTTAGTTTCATAGCATATATAATCATAAAGACATGGTAAGACTTTGAGTGAAGTATTGTACCATTGGTTTTAGGGTAACACTAGGTATAGACTTCAGATACTGAACTAACAGGGCAAATCACCTGGTTTGCAGATCAAGAAGACTTTGAGAGAGTATGAATCTTTTAATGTAGAGCTAGTTTAGATGTAACTCAGATAGCTTGAGTCTGATTAGGAACTCTGAAATGGCTTTTCTGTTTCCTTTTATGAGGTTTCCATTGGCACGTATACAGTGTTGGACTGTTACGCCATTCATGTATCTCTGAGGCTGAAATGAACATGTCGCTTTCCCTCACTTCCCTGCTAACGTATTGGAACAACAAAGTAGCAGCCATTGCCACTAGTTGTGTTATGTTGTGGTATGCAAGGGGCAATTATTCCTGTTCCTGTATGGGTGGAATGAACTACCAGAACTTCTCCAGACTGTGAACATCAAAGTTTTCATGAAGACAAGCTGAGCCAGGAAGTTTGTATTTGCTTCCCAAAGCCAAGAGTGCACAAGTAGTAGGATATTTTTATGTTGTTTTGGGGCTGCAAAGGTTATTTGTTTGATTGTTCATATGGTTGGGATTTTTTGATCAATGATATGAAGAAATGCATACCCCATTGGATTAGAGCTTGGTGCATGTTTGATCTTGCCCACCAGATACATATTTTATTCTAGGTCCAATTTTGTACTGTTTTCCTAAATGCCGTGTTGATTTTAAAGACTTTTTTGTTAGTATTCCTTCACCTTCATTTACAACAAAAAGCTAGAACATGTCAGAAGTTACCTGGAACCCTTTTATGCTCTCCAATTCTCTGAATTCACAGTCTAACTCCTGCTGATTCCATTCCTGTATACTTGCCCAAATTACAGGCTGAAGAAGGAGAAATGCCATTCTATACATAAATACCAATTCACCTAGTGTTTTTAACATTATATTGGCATGAGTCAGTCTTGTTTGCATCTAGTTAGGGAAACTCAAATGACTTCCAAAGGACTCTCTTTTGTTAGATGCTCCATTTTGACAAATAGGAATGTGAACAGTTATACTTCAGCTCCCTTCTGCTATAATTTCTACCATTTCCATTGGTGATTGCCTGATGGCACTTGTTCAAAGCACACTGTCTCCCTAAGGAGTAAAATTTTCAGGGGTTCTGTATCTAGTAAAGTCAAACATTGTTTGAATCATATGCTGAAGTATTTGAGACATTCCAGAGTCTTCAGCTGAAGAGGCTCCCTCCTTGCAGTGTTTATGTTCAATATGATGAAGAATGTATGGATAGTTTGGCAGGACTTTTGTTACTGAGCTAACTGTTGTAGCTCTCAGTTTACATTTATAGGGAATACATAGTACAGCAGCACATAGCCAAGCAGATAAATTTAAAGGTAGAAGTTAGCAGGGCTGTTGTTTGGGGTTTTTTGGGGTTGTGGTTTGTTTTTTTTGTTGTTGTTGGATTTTGTTTGGGTGGGGTTGGTTTGGGTTTGGTTTTTTTTTAGAGGTTTTGCAGAGAGGATTGCTCAAAATATTATCAGAGATTCTGTACACATATAACTGTGGCCAAGTGTCTTTCAAGTTCTTGTACTAACTTTAGAAATCTAATTCGATTTCTCTAAAGAAAATTCAGGTGTGAATTTGAGGATTGGGTACTGAGTTTGTAAATCATGGGCTGTTACTGAGTGGCTTAAAAGGGGCAATGTGTAGGATATAACTGAAGGAGCTTGGTTTTCTTTAAGAAGGGCTTCTTAGGAAGGGAGGTTAAATGGAAAATGCTCTACTTCAGAGGGTCATTGTTTCTTTGTTGAAAATTCTCAGATTGTTGGGTTGGAAACCTACTGGAATGCTATAATAATTATCCTGCCATTTGGCTAGGAGAGGGAATACTCAATTTTCTTTATCCTCAGACATGAAGTGCTTGACAGTTTACTGTTGTTGTAAGCCTATTGTGGACTCATCTGGTATCAACAGCTAAACTGAAGCTTTCGTTGGCTGTATGTCTACCTGCTTGGTTTTGCATGAAATATCGTGTGTTCTGTTTCAACACAGTGGTGGTGATCTTGCAGGAAAGGCTAAGAAAAATCCTTCTGACTGGATAGCCTACACTTAATAGGCAGAATTCAGAGGTTTGAGGGTGATTTCTATAAACCAATAAGAAAGCAAGATTATTACATTCAGAATCTCACCAGTCTCCGAAAGAAGAATACCAATGTGTTTGTACAGTATGAGCAAGCTATGCTCTCATTCCAGGTTCTGTAAATGGTGTTTGTTGCCTGACTATAAAGTTGAATTTTCAGATGACTGTGTGAATTCTAAGACGCTTCCTCCCACCCCCCAGCTATTGTTTGAGGTGACTTTTATTATATCTCCCTAATAAGAAAGCTGAATTTACTGGAACCAAGCTCTGTCAGTTTGCATTTACCTATAGGAGTTTGTAGCTTTGTGGTAAGCATTTGCGTTTTAGATCTTCCTATCTCTGGACAAGTTACTTTGCTTAGAACAATTGTAATGCAAAACTGACTTTACAGCACTTCTGTATTATTTTGAACATAATCATGTGATATTTTTAATACTAGCCAGCAGAACTATGTCCTCAAACCATGTGATAAATGGAGGGGTGATTTAGAGTATTTCACAGCAAGGCCCATATGATAATTTATGGCTTTTTTTTTTTTTGTGAGAATGTAGTTTTGTTTCTTTAGGATTTTGAATTCTGTTTGGATCTGTGTAACTAAAAATGTCAGTTCTTATTAACTTCTGAACTCTTTTCTACTTTTTTTCAACAAGAAACCTGACCAGTCAAACAGATCCTCTCTGGGCAGAGGTGCTATTTCCAGAGGCTCTTGCTGTAGTGCACAGTAGCTGCACTCAGACAGAGCCTTGGCAAATGGAACATTAAAAAAAATTAAATTTAAATATTACTTATGATAGTATGTAGATATAATATCTAAATATTATTTATCATTTATTTATTATTTAATTAGTATTTATTGTAGGACCTTCAATAAGGGAGAAGTGGAAAGGGATTTGTTGTTCAAGTCTGAAGCTTTAGCCAGTCTGTGAATCTCTGCAATGCAGCTGACAGGAAATAGCAGAATTCTTTCCTAAATTTGAGATGAACTTTATTGTTACTGTAAAACTAAGCCTGTTATGATAACCTCTGAGTAGAAGTAGCTTCAGTGCAGCAACATTTTGAAAGCACCTGTGATGCTGAGGCTGGAGAAGAGAGCAGGAGGACTATAGAGGCAGCTGTTTTCCTTGCAACACCTATACATTCCCAAACCCAAAGGAAGTCTTGTGCAGCTGTAATGAGCTGATTTCCAGGCTGCTGGGCCTTCAGGGCCCTCTCATTTTCGAGCATGAAACCTGAGCATGCTGCTCTCATTTTCAAGCATGAAACCTGACTGAGGTCAGAACAGAATTCCCCCTGTCCGTAAGTGTTATTTCCAAAAGCTCTTCTGCTTGCTGATTTCATATCTATCTCTGGTGCACCTGGTTGACTACTACTTAGGTTAATAACGTAGAACTGGTTGACTACTATGTAGGTTAATAACGTAGAACTGGTTGACCTGTAGGTCTGTGGGTATGTTCCATAGAGTGGCTTTTGCAGGCTAATATGACTGAATAGGATAAGGCAGCCCATCTCCTGTAATATAGCACTATAAAGTGAGCACAAGGCAGTATTTTTTGAGGAACAGCACAGCAATTTGTTAATGTGCCTGAAGTGTTTCTGTCGTGGAGCTTTTTGCTCACGATAACAGAAAGACTTGTACTGTACGGCAGGCTGTAATTGATTATACAAGAGACTGACAACTATGCAAATCCCTAATGTCAACAACGATTTGAGCCAGCAGGCTGTGCATGCTGAGGAAGAGAATTCCAGTAATCTGCTCCTGCCCTTATCTCTGGGTAGAGCCCTTTAGTTTACAGCCTGTTAGAAATGTGACCAGTTCTTTGCTAGATTTATTACTTAAGCAAGACTCCTCAGAAACAGTTTTTTCCCCTCACAGTGTGACAACTACTGACTTTAGAAACATATTCTCCAAGACCAAGCCTTCAAATGCCCGAATCTTCAGAGGATGTAAAGGAGCAAAAAAAGTGTAACTTTGTGGGTGACAAGGGAAAATTGCTCCAGACCTGCTCTTGCATGTGTGCCCAAATTGGTTGGTTTTTGTTGTGACTTTGCACGTGTCTAAAAGTAAATATACGCAAGAGCTTGATGTGCAGTTAGTTGGGAGCAACATGACTGGATTATAATACAGGCTACATCTTGAGGTATCTGCCTCAAAGCAAAGCAGAAGTTCAGTTTTAGATGCCTTTGTTAGTCATGCTGTTGAACTTATATTAAAGTGAGGGCTTTGTTGACTGATGTGCTATGGTAAATCTTGTTTTTGTTTTTTTCAGAGCCGAAAATGATAGCTGCAGGAAAATTGTCAAGTCTTCCCAGAAATGGTCCAGTGAACCACCAGTTCTCATTAGCTTCCTCCATGGACCTTTTGAGCACTAAACCTTTGCCAGCCGAGCATCGCTCAGGCTCCTTTCAGGACATCTCTATCCATGGCACTCTTCCCAGGAAGAAGAAGGGGACAATTCCCACTAGGTCTTGTGATATGTTTAGCCACATGGGAACACTGCCACACACCAGAGCTCACAGGCAGCAGCCACCTTTTGTGCAGGATGTTATAGAAGAGCACCCACTGCAAAATGGGAAGAGCAACAAACTCCATGCCAGGTACCTTGTAAAACCTTAATTTACGTATGTTTTTGCATAGAAATTATTAGGTATTTTTCTAGACTGCTAGATGTCCAGTTATAGGTGTAGCTGTTTATTATAACTCTGCATTTAACTGAGGTTGACTTTTCTGCCTAGGACTCAATTTAGGTCTTGATGTAAGAAGCCAAACAAAATACAGCGTGAAATATGTGAGGGGTGGGGAGGGTGAAAAGTGAGTCCGATGCATAGATTTCAGGAATTCTGAGAATTTCTTACGTAATAGTTCAGGTTTCAAAATAGTTTTCCTTTTGCAATAAGATCAGTCAGTATAGGGGATGCTACATACTCATGCCTGTTTAAGATGTCCTTCTGTGGGATCTAGTGATTTGGATTTTGAGTCTGTCTTTTGACATGTGTATAGCTTTTAAATATAATTTTTGAGGATTTCGTATTGCCTCAATATTTAAAAGGTATAGCAGTGCATGTACTACTCCTGTGGAGGAAACTTTTAAAAGTCAGAGTTGTTTTGAAATGACCCTTCACATTGTTCTAACAGAGCAGTTTTAACAAAGAAGTCAAACTGTTCAAACTTAGTTTTGATTTGGATTCAGTGCTTATAAGGATGGAGTGCAGAGGAAAAGGAGACGGTGGTGTTGCAGCTGCTTCCAAATAAGAGATACAAGTGAGCTGTTCTTGAAGACTCAGTGGAACCCAGTGTACACAATGAGCTAATGGCAAATCACCCCTGTTTATTATTCTTGCCTGACTTCCTGGTTGTAATATCTGTGACTCTTGAGAAAGAATTATACTCTCATAGCTAGCATTTCTTTTGGGAATCTATTATCATCACTGATATTTCATTGCTTACAAAAAAGGTAATTAATTTTGTAAATGTCATTTTTTGATGTTCTGATATTGAGGTCTATAAAATGGGAAAATTCCCAGCTAACACAAAAAAAAATTCTGTGTAATCAGTGGATCAGATAAAGGCACAAAGGTGAGAATGTTAGGTTGCTTGGCTGGCAGTTCAAGGTTGAGAAAAGGTAACCAAATGACAGCTTCTGAATTAGGATTTACAGTTTTGCTGAGACCATCACTATATAAGACTCTTGATCTTGAGTCTTGTGATGGAAGGACAGTTCTCATTATATGGGATTGTATGTGTAGAGTGGCTTTTGTATGCTTTTTGCTTGTGGCATACAGGATCAAGCTTTCTTCTCATTTGAAAATAAGTCTCTATACTGTATTCACTTTGAAGGAAGAAAGGGCCTCAGTGTGTTTAGTATTCCTCTGTCACTGATCTCTGAAATGTACCTGCTTACTTGAAATGGCTTTTTAGCATAATTTGCTGCTTTGACTTGAGTACTTTTAGAGAGCTCAAGCAGCCACGCGTGCTGCTGTAGAAAGAATATGGTAGTATACACTTGAGTTTTATCTTATGTCTTGCTTCTGAAGAGCAGTTGCTGAACATGATTTGTAAGAGATGTTTTTCTTTTCTTCAGAGACCAAAGGCTCCCTGTTAAATGTATTTATAATTTTAATGGATAACTTTCCTTGTCCCCTTACACTTTTGCACAAGCAGTAAGTGTAAGAACAGAATACTTGAGAGGAAAATGTCAAAGTTCTGCCTGATCAGAATTAAAATATGATGCTTTTGAAGTAATAAGAGATTCAAAAATGTTGTTAGCGCAGCTGTTAATAGAATTTGTGTCAGAGCAGGAAGTGCTGTTCCAATTGGATTTGATTTTCCAATTTCTTTAAGACACATGTGGAATGCTGTGGTAACAACTTCTAACTTTTGCTTTCTTTAATTTTTACAATGAATCTTTATATGTTCTGCTCCATCACCTGACAGCCTGGTTGTATTGGAGCAGAAGACACTACCAGTTTGACAGTCAGCAAATACATCACTTCTTGAGTTGTCTTGGGATGACTCTGCACTTTTTATTAGTATACTTCAAAAGAAAAGAGAGCATGTCTGATTTTCCTGTGGTAAGCACTTTGCTATATATGCTGAGGTATATATTCTAATCCTCATAGACACATTGAAATTAGCTGGGACTAATTGTATAGGGAAGTCCATGTTACCTTACCAGAATTATATCAAAAAAGCCCCATAATATTTCTATTTTGGTGTAGGAACTTGTGAAATAGTATAAGGTTACATGGATATTCTCATTCAGGAGTAAATCAGTTTCATTGCTATAATGCTGTTCAAAAAAACTTACTGCCAACTTTTTCATGATGGATTGTTCAGCCCAAGTGCTGTATTTGATGTCAGTGAGCTGGAACTAGTAGTCATTGGGATTACAGTGTTCGTGTTCACATGGATCCTATTATGCTGAACTGTGATTCAGGTATGTCATAGCTTAAGTTTGATCAATTTAGAAAACATAACTGATAACATTTTCAGTAATTCAAAATGAGTAATATAATCTCTAATATATAAATACACAATTTTGTGGAACAAAAAAAAAGCCAAGGCAAGAATAGGAAAAAGATAATGAATTATGTCATTCCCTAACGGAACTCTTCTGATTTCCAAAAGTTTTTGTATTGTCTTACAGCTACCTGATTACATTACTATGCAGCCATGATGAAGTGTATGTATAGTAATTTATTTGTAGGATTATATTATTTCAGGATTTCTACACCTATATGACCAAAAATACTGTGTCTTTATGGAATTTCTCCTGGATTTTCAGATTTTTCTGAATCTCCTGGATTCAGAAAAATAAAAATCTGACCTACAAAAGCACTCTTCTAATGTTGCAAACTTACAAGTCACATTTAATTTCAAATAAATAAATATTGGAAATGTCCAACTCACTTCACTTTTTCTGTGACCAGGCACATCACGAATCTGCAGTTCTTACGAGGAAGATTCGTCATACCTCCATTTGGGTAGAAATCAGGTAGATCATGAGTCATAGCTTCAAGTTGTTAAAAGCACAAATTTGAATTTACATTGGATTAATGGAAGAAATGGTGTCATTTGGAACTACCTGTGCACTTGGATGATCATGGTTGTCCCTGACTGTCATTCCAGTGTGACTGATGTGCGGCATTTTTATGCTTTTAAGTTAGTGGAGCCAAATACCCCTCAGAATAAAAAAGACCTAAAAGCAGTGCAGCACTACCACTATCACATCAAGTCTGATTGCAGTGATTAAGGCAGCTGTCAAAAAACGATTTTGAGATTCTGTACTATTTCAGTTGGATGTCAATAGTACCCATGTAGTCTTGGGTTAAGGTAGTAGTTGCCTCTGTAGGTCTGCTACTGGCTCAGGTACGAGCATACTTAAATGCTTCCTCATTGTAGAGATGCAAGAAGTTTCTGTGTGTTAAGAAGATGGATGAAGCAAAGAATTTTGCAAAGAATCTTTTGCAAATATTCCAAAGCACGACTAGATTTCACTATATTGGTCCTGTGCTCTCTGTTTCATGAGGCAGCATGATTGCAAGAGGTCGCAGAACAAGTAATTGCTGCTTGGATTGTCTGGCAGCTGACAGCTGTATTATTCTGTGTTCCTAAACTTCATAATAAAAGAGATCTGACAGGTTCATAAAGGTTCTGGTTGTAAAAGACGTATTTCTTATACAAAGCTTATATTTTGTTTGAATTTCAGTAGGGCTGCATATATACTATCCATTATTGGTAAGCCAATTCAAAAACCAGGGAAACAAGAAGAAAGATGAAGCATAAGACATATTCTGAAGGCTTTTCCTTCAGTTGGGATTTTGAGCTTAAATTACTCTTTTACAACACCACACAAATCATAGAATCATAGAATAGTTAGGGTTGAAAAGGACCTTAAGATCATCTAGTTCCACCCCCCCTGCCATGAGCAGGGACACCACACACTAAACTATGTCGCCCAAGGCTCTGTCCAGCCTGGCCTTAAACTCCTCCAGGGTTGGAGCATTCACAACTTCCTTGGGCAACCTATTCCAGTGCCTCACCACCCTCACTGTGAAGAACTTCTTTATATCTAACCTAAAGTTCCCCTGTTTAAGTTTAAACTCATTACCCCTTGTCCTACCACTAGAGTCCCTAATGAAGAGTCCCTCCCCAGCATCCTTGTAGGCCCTCTTCAGATATTGGAAGGCTGCTATGAGGTCTCCATGCAGCCTTCTCTTTTCCAGGCTGAACAGCCCCAATCCATTCCATAGTCATGGGTACTGCCACATATATTCTTCAGTACTTAGTATAGAATAAACATCAACAAAGATTATTTCCATGGTTAGGATATTGATAGCATTTCTTCTGATGTGGATTCTGACTAATATATTTTGAACCTCTTGCCACAGCCTTCCTCTCAGCAAGTTGTCCTGGCAGAAGTGATTCCCTCTGCTGCCTCAAACCACTTCATTTCTTCTTTTAATTGTGAGAAATACATTTTTGATACCCCACTGCCAAACAGGTCATTAGTTCCAAAGTTGTTCTGTGGGGAGAGAAATAATGCAAGTGGTATGGTAGTTTCAACATTCTGTCTCTGGAGAATCAGGCTAATAAAGATGTGATCTTCACAGCCTGTTTAAAGCATGGTGAAGGAAAGAAAAAAAGATATTCCTTTCCCAATACTGGTAATTCCTCTATTGCCTCCAAAGTAATAGAAAGAAATCCAGCCTGTATTCCTGTTGAAAGAAACATGAAGTGAAATTGACTTTAATAACAGCTCTCGTGTGAAATTGTAAACTGTCAAGAGGCCAGAAATATGATCCAAATTTGCACAGAGTTGGCATTGTTGGGTTTTTTGTTTGTTTGTCTTCTCTTCATGATGCTTTGAAGGAACTTAATACAAATGTCAGGATGAATAGTCTAGCACAGTAGTAAAATCAAAGCTAGACACAATTTCTTATGAATAAGTTTAGTGATTTTTAATGCCGTTTGTAGAGTAACATCCTTATTTAAAACCCATCGTGTTTCATGTGTGCCCAACTCAGACTTCTCAGAAAATACACTTGACTGATAAAAGTCTGTGTATGAGAAATTTAGTATCTAACAGAGATGAGTT